CTGCGTGGAGCCCAGGACCATGGGCTCTGTCTGGGTGGCGGTCTCCGAGGTGCCTGATGGGGGGGCCACAGAGCCTGAGGGGACCCTCAGGGTGTGGCATGTGCCCATCCGTGTCATGCCTCTGGTAGACTGGCTATGGCTGGGACTGACTACCTTGGTGGGTTTGCAGGCAGGGTCTCAAGCCCTCCCACGCACCCTGCTGCGCAAACTCCATGCTAACTCATGCGCTGGCAGGCAGCGCGCCTGTTTGCACAGCCTGTTCGCGTGGCTCCGGTCGCATGGCTCCCTGGGGGGCTGGGCCAAGTAGGGGCCTGCATGGGGGCTTGACCCAGCCCGGCTCCACGCAGCCACCTCCTCCCACTCAGACAGAGAGGGGTTAAACCCTTCCCAATATGAGCCCCACTTGCCTCCGGCTGTACTGGGGGTCGGCAGGGGGCTCTGAGGCTGCTGGGGGGTGTCTGGGGAGCTTCAGGGGACTGGGGGCGTGGCAGGCTTTTGAACAGAGGGTTAGATTAGATGACCTCCTGAGGTCCCTTTCAACCCTCATTTTCTATGATTCTATATATACTGTGCTGACCTTGGGTGTAAGAGCAAGCACTGCCACTCTTTAAGGACAACTGTGTGAAAAGATGAGAAGCCAAGTACTGACTAGTCTTGGCTCTAAACAAGCAACCTAAGGGTTCTGTTTCCCTTCACCAAACCCCTGAACCCCAAAGGAGAAGAGGGAGGAAGCAAGAAAGTACGCAAGACCATGTTGAAAAGGCCTGGAAGGCTTTTGTCTGCTTGCACTTTACATTGGAAATGCAGATTCTGTTTATCACAGAATACTTCATGGTGACTGGAAAACTCATGGAATAATGATACCACAAGAGACTGTACACATTTCAGTGCAAAGTCTCCCACCAGTATGGGATGCTGTATCATGATGGAATTACCATAAAGTTGAATAAGTGCCCCAAAATGTTCTGCCATTGCATTCCTCTGGCTACCGATGCTTCACCATGTTTCCCTACCATTCAGTCTGGGTGAGGAGGTACACATAAGAGGCATAGCAAGAGTCTGAAGGATGACCCACTAGCATCAACTTAGTTTGAGAAAAAAACACTGCAGTATATAGAACTGGAGAGAGCATCAGAATGACAGCTGTGGATGGAAACAGCAAGAGATACTTAGAAATGAATTGACCCTCTTCCTATGAGATGAAAACCCAAGTACAAAACTAACTCAGAGCACAAAATAAAGACAATGCATTGAATTTCTAACATAATCTGGCAGGGGCAGGTTGCCAAAATCAATAGAAACAAATAGGTCCCCAGCTGCTTCACACTGTAACGAGGTGGAGGGAAACCTCACTAACCTAACAGAGAGCAGATCGAACCAATTTCAGCTAGTGAATAACCCGAGTAGGCAAAATGTAATCATTTTAGGTTAAATTGGAAAAGAAAGGCAGGACATTATTCAGCTCCCACAGCTGTGCAGCTCATATTCTGACTGAAGCCACATCACTACATACTGAGTAGCAGGTGGCAGCAAGAAGCAACTCATAATGTCTCTTGACAGTGTTAATAGGGTGTACCTAACTGTGAGATCCCCTTTCGGAAGCTGCCTGAGACCCGGTAGCAAGTGCTGCCGTCTCCTCCACACACCCTGCATCTGTCCATCGTCTGGGCTGAGTAGAGACTCCCGTCGCACCCAACTGGCTGCAAGGAATGAAAAAGAAAAGACGTGGCTCAGTTTTGAAGGGAGAGGTATTCCCTACAGACCCCCCTGCTAGACAGCAGTGAGACAAGTCTCCAGCTTGGAAAGAAGCCTTCAGTCAAGAAAGCTCGCATGTCTAGGGAACCAGAAGGTGTAACCCTGGGGATTGGGGATGAGGGGCAGTTTCAGTTCACCCTGTAGCTACCTTTAACCTGAGGCACCTGACTGCAATTACAGATTAGAATGTTCTTCCTCCAGGAAGTACCACATCTAGGAGGGGCCTTGTTGAAAAAGGCCAGTGCCTCTAAGAGGCAGCATGTCCAGAAATGACAACACTGAACCATCAAACCATGGTCCTTTCAAGCCTTACGATCTTAAAAATTCAACGTGTATTAACTAATTTTATATATGTACCAAATAAATACAGGTACAATTGCAGTGCAAGGAAAGCCATACTAACAAGGTAAACATTCTTTCACTGCTGGTTAACCCTATGTAAGAGAGCACAGGGTGTGTTCTGTTACTCCTAGGGGCATGGGCAGCAGCAAAGCTGCCTGGAATTGACTATTTTCCCTAATCAGGCCTAATTACCTGGTTGGGAACAGGGCCCAGCTGTTCACTATAAGAACAGGGCCCTGAATAGCAAAGCCACAGTCTGCTGCTAGCAGCTGGAAGCACACCACCTGGCTGAGCTGCTGCTCATGGAACATCCTTGTATGTAAGGGCAGGAGTTATGGGGATGGCTGGAGGCTCCTGGTCCTGGGGCATGACCTAAAATTACACCCTACTGGGGTTGGATGGTGTGGATAGGACTGCTCGTGGCAGGGCAGCTACCAGGAAATGCCACACCTGGGCCTTCCCCAGTGAAGGGTGAGTATGGGGTGCGAGAAAGCCTCAGTCCCTGCGGCCTTGTGGGTGACCCTGCAGAGGGGAAAGGCTAGGGGAGAACACCCTAAAAGACAAAGCAAGGGCCTAGACTCACCATGAGTTCTGAGGTGGGTTCCTGGCCAGGTGAAGAAGCCAGAGATAGTGCAGCCTCAGATCTCGCTGTCAGTCTGGGCACCAAGGGAGCCGGGAGTGAGACTCCAGGGGGGGTGGGGCCCTGAGCCTTCAGGAAGCTATGTGTGGAGTTCTTTGGGTGAACGGATAAGAAGACTGTGAGCCCAGCGTAAGGCAGGGGACAAGGCCCAGTGTAGGGAAGGGGATGGAGCTTGGAGACCAGAGTAGAATTGGACTTGGAGCCCAGAGTGGGGCCTGGAGGCCTGAATGGTGATGGGGGTTAGAGCCCAGAGTTGCTAGGCGCCTGGAGCCCAGAATCAGTAGGGGCTTGGAGCCCTGAATGGATAAGGGCTGGGAGCCCTGAGGGACGAACAGAAGGAGAGCCCAGTGTGAAGGCACTGGTACTATGAGCTCCAGTGGAGAGTGAGAATCCTGCATGAGACTCTGGGGCTTGAGTCCCAGTGGGGGACACTGGAAGAACATGGATGCCATCTGCATGGCATAGGACACAGTATAGGGTAGCTTGGAGCCATGTATATGGGCCCGTGACTTCAGGGCAGGTAAATGGGCAGCCTCCCACCTTACTGACACCCTTCAGTCATTATCATCAAGGCATGGCAGGCGACATAGGTGGGTGGTCTACCCAGAGACAAGTGGGTGGACCTATGTTTAGACAGGCCCCGGGATGCCCACCTGTTATACCCTACAAGAACAAATCACAGGTGCTGATTGTTTTCCTCCTCCTCAAAGGGAGAATACAGCTACCCTGGACAAGCACATGGGGGAATGTAACAGCTTCCCTTCCCCAAAAAGGCATTATAACAAGAGTTACAAATACACTTTACTAGTCAGCCATTTTGCTTTACTGCCAGTAATAATAGAGCTTTGACTGAAATTATGTAAAACCATGCCTACACCCTCCACATACCCGGCCCTCCCTTCAGCTGCCTCACCTCACATTTTCCACTGATGCAGACCCCTTGGTAGGTTCTGTCCTTACAAGATGTGCCATCCTGAGCATGGGCCATCAACTGCCTCTCTCCATTCCTGGTGGTGCACTGCAGATCACATGGTTTGTTGGAGATACTGGTGTAATCATCTAAAGAGGGAAAGGTGAACAAGCAATGGGCAGAGCAGCAGGGGCAAAGCATGGAAGGCTCAGTCGCTGGCAGAGACAGAGTTCCTGTCTAGATTTCTAGTTTTATACTACCCTGCTCAGAAGCACTGGAGTGCCACTGCCACTTTGATATCCTCTGGTGGCAGAAGTGAAATGATTTGATGGTCTCTCTCCCCAGCTAGGAAGTGTACTCATGTCCAACTTAAAAAGAACCATCCCCTACAACTGGCACTATAACAGGCAATATCACCCAAGAAGCTAAGACTGTTGATGACACAAGGTTTTAGCAGAATTTGCAGATTCATTGGAATTTGACAAGGGCTGCGTTGTGAATGCTTCTGCTATGGCCATTATGGTAGTTGGAACAGTTCATGCCAAGAAACTAGACCAGTTCTAAATGACAGCTGTCATACAATAACAGAATATCTAAAGCCAACACCAAAGGATAGTCTATACTTACTGGCTGGCATTGCACTACCTGATATCAGAAGGAAGGTAGTGAGCCAAAAAGAAAGATCATAGCAGATGGAAGACCCCAGGCATTTGCTCTGTGGTCACACAGAAGTAACTAAATGGCTTAAAGTGTGAAAGGGTTTTGTGACCAGTGTTGTGCTGTTGGACGTGACTGATAGGGTATGACTGAGTTTATGGAAGAAAAGATTAGATACAATCAGGTGCTCTTAAATGGACCTGGAACCCCAGGAGGACCTTCCCAAAGGGGTGGATCTAGACTGGCCAACATGGTGATACCTGAATCACCTAGACATGCAAACTAAAAGATCAAAAACAGACATGATCAAATGGGGCTACTTTGATGATACAAACATATATGAGTGCAGTGAAGTGCAGACTATGGAAGATCTGCTTGTTTGCTGACTTCTTGGTGATACCTATATGAAGGAGAACCTTGCAGCAGCAATGGAAAGAGCCATCGCTTGTGCACGATTCTGGAAATACATCTAGTTTATAACAAGGACACGAGAAGAAGAAGAACCCAAGAAGCTGGCTGAATGGGCATGGACAGAAAACTTCCCTCTTTCCTCAATTAAGGTGGCCACGTGTTAGTCAGACAATACAGGGAAGTCCATCCTGTTGCCAGTTCTGTTCTTTGGATACATGAAGACTCCAGACTCCAGAGCTCCTAACTCACCAGTTTTTGCAGCTTTAAATTTGAGCATTTTAGGTCAAGCCTCTTGGTCGAGGTGTTTGAAAGTGACAGGTGATTTTGGAAGCTCTGGAGGAGGCATGTTAGAAGGACCTAATTTTCAGAAAGTCTTTACCACCCAGTCACTGAAAACCAGGCTCCCTTAAGGTGTCTCAGACGGGCACTGAAAAATGAAGTTACCAAGATGATCAGTCACTTGGAAAATCTTACTCCCAAGTCTAGTTTTAAGCAGTATTTTAGGTAAGAGAATACTTACAACCAGGAGTAGAGCAGGAAAAGAGAAGAAGGCCTGTCAGATAAGAGTGACTCTTCAAGAGGAGCTGGAAGAAATGCCTGCACAGCGGGGAACAGGCAGCTCTGAAGCAGGAGATTTCACACACAGAGCATGAAGGCTCCTTAATCAGTAGGCAACTCTCCAGTCTCTGGGCTGTGGTACCTCTCCCACTTACAAGGTACCCCCAGACAGCCCTATTCTTCTTCCCCTTTCACATCCTTTGTTTAGAACTGTTTCAGTGATAGACAAACCTGGATAAAGAGGCATCCAGTTATAATAGCGCTTCCCAAAGGCCTTGGCATTGAAACTGGAACACTGCTGTTGTTTGAAGCTGGCTGTGTTGGCTGGGCAGGGCTGTGGAAAAAATAAACCCAGTGTTATCTTCCTAGAGCAAAACAAGACTGCTATGAAGAAATGAAGTTTCTGAACTGCAACAGTAAGGGAGCTGAATGCCTCCCATATCTGAGAAGAGGGTGAATGACCTCTTAGGTCAAGGCTAGGACCCCCTGGCAGGGCAATGCAAGAAAGCTCCAGATGAGTTTAGTCTAGACAGCAGGCCTTCCTCAGCTCATAGCAGTGGAGAGACACTTAGAATGGTACAAAAGAGACCATTGTGTCTGGTGGACAGAGCAGAGGCTGTGAGTCAGGATTACTGGGTTCCATACTTGCTCTGCCCTGGTTTCACTGAGCAAGTCCCCTTTTTTCCACATAACATGGAAATTGCATCTGAAAGCACTTTAATATGCTCAGAGGAAGCCTGCTACAGATGTCTTCCTCCTAGGTTACTATTCTTATTATGTAGTAACATTAATAAAATATTCAGTGGTGTTTGCCTAGATTAGCCCCATTGAGTCCAGGCTGCTGCTTTTCTCAATACTAGCCTTGTTCTTGTCAATAAAATTAACATATTACATCACACCAGTGACAGCCTGAGTTCCGAGGTAACCTTGTATATCCATACTACTGTCTGCACCAATCAGAGCCTTGATCCACTTGCTCTAGATCTCATCCGGAATAGTGAGGCTTGCATGGGCACTGCAGCCTCAGGATCACTCCTTGAAGCCATGTTATTTCCCTGGCAGTAAATGGGCAACACTGAGAGTTGTTACCTGTTGCTGGCACAGCTGATAATGCTTTGATTGGCCCACACACATGGTGCTGTTTGTTCCTTGAGATATCTGGAGTCTGAAATGTAGAGAAGAGGAAGGAACAATAGCCTGGAGGACAATAAGGTGCTATAATACAGAGGGGATAAGATAGTTGTGGCCCAGGGCTTAACATACACAAGCAGAGAGGTAGCGATTTTTATAAGGGTATGGAGGCTAGCAAAAGGCTTTTCTACCTAGCTTGTCAGAGAGCACCTAGTAATGTGAAAGAAAAATATTTCCAATGGCCTCAAATTTACGGTGAGATGTTCTCATTTAGGAATGGGAGTCAGGATGAAGGACTTGATAGAATAAAAGTACGCAAGAGCATTATTACCACCTTCCAGGAAGGACCAATTCCTCTCACCCTGCCCAGCTGGAAAGATGGGTGAGATCATGTGAAAAATATGAATCCATCTATGTACAACTTACCTGTGTTAGACTACAAACTATTCTGAATGTGAGGCTTGTCTCCCTTCTCTGTCATCTTTTAACCTTTGGGGTGAAATTTTAAGGAGTGGCAATGTAGAGCACACAACAGAAGTTTGTTAAATCTTGATTGTCTTCTCTTTCAAGGAAACAGCTTTGGGCAAAGAATTTGGTACTATGCAGAAGAACCAGTGTGCCCACGTGTGTGGTAACTAAACAACACATCAAAGCAGGGGTTGCCAACCTGTGGCATGGGTGTCACAAATGGCATGGGCAACCTCTGTGCCTGGTGCATGGCAGATTGGGGAGGGGACAGGCATCACAGTGGCAGATAGAGCAGGAAACAGAAAGTGAAGTAGTAAATGGGCAGCAGGCACAAGGATGGAAGCAGAAAGCACAGCAGCAGCCCAGGCAGGGAACAGAAAGCAGAGCAACACATTGGGCTGAGGAAGGGGATTGGAGTGGTACTTAGCGAAATTGCAAGACTAATTTGTGGCATGCCTGCCAACAAGATTGGCCCCTGCTGCTGTCTAGGATTTGGGTCACCTGATGAGATTGACCAGAAGGGTCACCTGACAAAAAGAAAAGGGCAGGTCTCTCACCAGCCATTTTAGAGAGAGGAAAAAGCTGCACTGGAAGCTGCAATAGCGAGAGAAGACTCTGTGTTTCAGAAGAGAACCCACATGCACAAGGAATGGGGAAGAGGGAGGATCTTGGACTCCATAAAAGATCTCAGCTCAAAGAATCTCTGAGAGTTGTGAGACAACTTGAGGCAAGAAACCGTATGTAGCTGTTGCATTGTTTTGTGTAGCTTTCCATAGTGCACTGAAAGGCTTTGCAAAGCCTGACACTATGCATCTCAATTACTGGGTGTCCCTTGAGAGGTAAATAGTAAACTAGAGACCCATGAAGCTGGACCTTTGGGAAGAAATGAGCTTAGAAGTGTCTGGATGGGGCCAATGCTGGTTCTGAGGTCTTGGGCACCTGAACCACAAGGATCCATTATTGTGAAGGGATAAGAGACAGAGAGTTTGTGCCCAAGAAGTGAGGTGGAGACATCAGTGAAAACTACAAGTGCCTATTCAGGCCCAGTAATGTTTAAAAGCATGTGTCCAGCATGTGGAACCCAAACGCAACAATATGGGGAGTATCTGGCAAAGGCTGTTTTACCAGGCCTGTGATGAGCCACTAGAAGATCAAAATCAAAGGCACCCTACCGGAAGTCAGGAAACCTGGGTTTTGTTCCCAGTTCTGCCACCAACCTACTATGTGACCTGGGACAAACTGCTTCTGCTTGCTTCCCTTCCCACCTTTTATCTGCTTTATTCTGTCTGTAAGGTCCCTGAGCCAGGGCCCCTCTTGTACTAGGAAAAAGTATAGCACTTTGCACTTTGGAGGCCTCATTTCAAGGTCTCTAGGTGCTGCAGTAATACAGATTAGTATTACTAACAGTAATAAGAACTGACACAGCATCTTTTCCATTGGAAATTGCTGTTTCCTCAAAATCAATCCGTTTCATAGAAATGTCAATTTTGACAAAATACCATTCGGAAAAAATAGGAAGACAGCCTTTCAGAAAAGTGGAGTTCTTGACAGTAACCAAGGAGATACCTAGGAAGCTGTAGAAGTCAGTTTGGCATTGTGGAATAAAATCATGGGTTCAGTGAGAAGATCCTAAACAGTAAAAACAAGTTAATAATGTTGGAAACTGAATTTGTATCAAAAAGCTTCAAAGTTCCCCTCCACTTGAGATGGAGCAGGGCACAGGGGGCATTTTAACACGTGCTCTGGTGGGTGGGAGGTGCACTTTAATTAGAGCAGCTCCAAATGCCTGCAGCATCTTGTGTATCAGCATCTCTGTGCTTCAAAATGGGGGAGGGGGAGATGCTTTAATTAAAGCTCATCAAATGAGCTCTAGTTAAACTGTCCCCACTATCATTTTGAAGCACAGGGATGCTGATACACAAGATGCAGAAGCTGCTGGAGCATGCTAATTAGCACAGTAGCTCAATTAATTGAGTCTCCTCTGATGCGCTGCAATTGCAGCACATTGGAACAGCCTCCCCGCATGTCTACAGGCACCCAGAGTTATTTAAGACTGGTTGCAGACTCAGGCAAATCCTGTTGCGTCATATGGTCTGGGAAGATTTTCTTTGCAACCACAGAACTTTTCTTTTTTAATGCTTGGCTTCTGCAACAATGAGCTGGCATGAGTGGTAAATACTGAAACAAGTTCCCTGACCAAAGAACTACAAAGGGCCTGATCCACAGCTCATTGTAGTCAGTGGAAAGACTCTTTCTAGGCTTTGGATCAGGCCAAAGAGCCCTGACTACGAGGGCACAGGGGATGCCCCAGGGGCACACAGGCCTGTTTTTGCATTTCCTTTCCCCATCTTTCTCCCATGATCGCAGTGTCTGAGTTCACAGGGTAGAGCGGATGTGCAGACACTGGCATGCCTTGTTAGCAGCGAGGTTGTTTGAGAATCATAGCTATCTCCAGATGGAAGGCACCTCGGCACATCCGGACCCTAATTATGCAGCCAGCCAGCCCACATAAAAGAAGGGTTTTTTTTTTTTTCCCTTTTGAAGGACGGAAAGGGGAGGGGGGGCTTGCCTGGGCTTCCTTGGCTCAGAAGTGCGTTCATGCGGAAGGGGAAGGAGCAGAGCAGTGGGGCAGGCACAGTGAGCTCACTGCACTCTCAGATGCCAGCTCTCATTAGCATCCAGGGAGTCTGGAGTAGCAGGTTAAAGAGGTTCCTCTCCAGGGGTCTCATTCATCTCTTTAATGGAGGTTTGGGGCTTCCGCTCCAGTCTCCTGCTCAGCCTTCAGCGGCAAATTTGACATAAGCTAGCAGCATAGGCAGGCCAAGGAAACAGCAGCAGGAGTTTGTGCAGCTGAAGCCACTACCTCCAACCCCACCCCTTTCAACCTTTGCCACTGGGAAGCTGCACAGGTCATTTGTCTGCTGTAGCTTGAGGGAATGAATGAAGATGTCATAACAGACCATGGAGACAAGGTACAACAAAGAACAGGACAGAGAGAGAACAGGAGAGAAAACTCTATGAAAAGGAAGCAGATGTCCCAGATATGTACTGGAACAGATTTGGCCTGGACTAAGTAGGTGTCACTCCCACAGAAGTCTCTGGGCACTTGTACATGTGGTGATGTCATGATGTACACATGACGAAAATTTCCCTTTGTGTGGCTTAATGGCGTCACACATTACCTGTTCCCAAGTCTTGTGGGTTTTAAAAGAGTTTGCATCATTGCAAACTAAAGTACACCCTGATGTAGTTTAGTTTGCAATGTTGCAATGTGGAAAGAATCAGGCCCCATGCCACTTCTGCCTTCAGCAGGCTTCTGTGGCCAGAAGGACACTTGAGTTGCCCAGGAATGGGCTGGCTTGCCCCGGTGCAGCACAGGAAGGCG